TCTTTCTTTCTTTCTTTCTTTTTTTGGTACCAGGGATTGAACTCGGGTCCTTGTGCTTGCAAGGCAGGCCACTGAATTGCTGAGCTAAATCCCCGGCCCTATCTTTTCTTTTCTTTTTGGATGCTATTGTATGTTTGTTTGTTTTTTGTTTTTTGAGAAAGGGTCTCACTATCAGCCTGGCCTTGAACTCACTATGTAGCCCAGGCTGGTCTCAAACTCACAGTGATTCTCCTGCCTCAGCCTCCTGAGTGATGGAATTACAGGCGTGCGCCACCATGCCTGGCTCTGGATGCTATTGTAAAAAGTGTTGTTTCCCTAATTTCTCTCTTAGTGAGTTTTTTATTTGTGTACAAGAAGGCTGTTGATTTTTTGAGTGTTGAATTTATATTGAGCTATGCTAATAAATTTGGTTATTAAATCTTGAAATCTTTTGGTGGAATTTTTGGGGTCTTCTATTAGAGTCTTGTGTCGTCTGCAAATAATGATAATTTAACTTTTTCCTCTCCTACCCTTTTATTTCCTTTTATTTTTATTTTCTTTTATTTCTTTCTCTTGTCTAATTGCTCCAACTAATATTTCCAGAACTGTATTGAATAAGAGTGGTAACAGTGGACATCCTTGTTTTTTAGAGTGAAAGCTTTCGGTCTTTGTCCATTTAGTGAAATGCCACTTCTGCTTGAAGTCTTTTTTGCTCACCCAGTGGCAGTATGTAGCTTCCCGTAGCACTAAGCCTGCCTTCTGCAAGCCACCCCAGAAGGTGGTGAGGGCAGGGCTGGGGTGGGTGGTCCCTGTTCCTGTAAAGAATCCTGGTTCTCCATGACTGGGGCAAAAGCAGAAGGCATCATCAGCCCTGGGCCGTGTGTTTTCTCTCTCTTTCAGATCAAGCGCTCATCCATCCGAAAGGGCATGGTGATGGTTTCACCTCGTTTGAATCCTCAAGCATCCTGGGAATTTGAGGCCGAGATTCTTGTCCTCCATCATCCCACCACAATTAGCCCACGCTACCAGGCCATGGGTATGTGTTTCGGGCCTTACAGGCCCTGCCCTAGCTCCCACCAAAAACTGATCCACCTCCAGCCAAGAGGAGGGCCGGCCACATCCCCATCCCGTTCAGCTCAGCTGCCGTTCCTTCGGTTCTACTCACAAGCTACAGTGTTGAGTTGGTCCTGCAGATGGTCACGGAGGGCTCTGAGACCCAGACCTGTCCTCAGGAACCTCGCTGCTGAGCGCTGCTGCGTACCTAGCTTTGTTGCCAAGGGCTCACCATCCAGTCACGAGGCACAGGTGCAGACACAGTGTCCTGGGATCCCTGGAACTAGGGTGTGGGTGAGCTCACTGGCCCAGCTGGAGGAAGGGGAGAGCAGAGGCACTATCAGTCTGCGCAGAGGCCACCAGCTCATTCCCACACTCCCTCGGGGGCTTTGATCCTAGAGATGAGCCCCTCCAGCGTCTTTCATGCTTTCGCTCACTGTCCCCTTGTCCTGACGCCACAGAGGGCCCCGAGTCTGTCTTGACCTCCTGCTCCCTTGGCAGTGCACTGTGGGAGCATCAGGCAGACGGCCACCATTCTGAGTATGGACAAGGACTGTCTGCGTACTGGGGACAAGGCCACCGTTCACTTCCGCTTCATCAAGACCCCTGAGTACCTGCACATAGACCAGCGGCTGGTGTTCCGAGAAGGTCGCACCAAGGCTGTCGGCACCATCACTAAGGTATGGCCCGGACCTACCTCACCTGCTGCAGGACACACCAGGGGTCACTCTAGCAGGGCGACTGAGCATCTCAAGCTCCTCCTGAGAATCCTGGCAAGTCCCCCTCCCCCTCCCTGGGCAGGGCTGGGCAGCACTGAGGTGAGGCTGCTCTGCTGGCTTCTTTCCTGCCACAGGAGGTGTCCTTGGGTCTCCCGTCCCGGGCTTTAATGTGGCCTTGGAGGAGAGCTGAGATTGGGTCCTGGCCTGTCTCCTTGGGAAGTGTTGGGGCTCAGTGTCCCGGGCCTGCTCTTCAAGTTGCCAGCTCTGATTCCTATCCCTATAGCAAAGCAGGTGTGGTTGAGTGAGTGCTGGACAGTTCAGGGCATCAGGTGTGGATTTTCTGGTGCTGAACTCTGTATTTGTCCTGGAGCCCACTTTGTCCTCTGCAGACCTCGCCCCTGGCGTGGGGCATTCTGTGGAGGCTTTGACCCCTGCCGTGAACAGAGAATGATGTGGTCTCCACATATCTGAGATCAGCTTCAGGCTGACTTCCAGTCCTCTTCACAGAGTTGTGTCCCTCAGGGACTGCCCAGGAATATGGGGGAGGCTGCAGCACACACTGTAGCATTCTCTGGGACTTGGCTGGGCCTCCTCCCCTCTATATTTGAGACGAAACTTGAACCCCCGAGGGAAGATTCCAAGGCATTTGCTCCTAGGTGGTAGCCTGTTTTGTTTTTAGGATTGGGTCTTGCTCTGTAGTTCAGGCTGGCCTTGAACTCACTGTGCAGCCCAGGCTGGCCTCAAATTCATGGTGCTCCTCCTGCCTCAGCCTCCCAAGTACTATGATTACGGGTATGCGCCATCACGCCCAGTCTGGGTGGTAGCTTTTTAAGATTTCTCACAGACTCCACATGTGCTTTTAGTTGATGAGTCATTCATTTGGTCTCTTTGGGAGGCCTGAAGTTAAAGTTGGCTCAGAGCAGGTTGTGGGCAGGCTGGATGCCAGCCTGGGAGCTGGGAGCTTGCCTGGGAAATAGTAGAGAGGGCCAGGGTTCTCTTTGGGCTGCTGCTGGTCCAGGAATGGGAATGGGGTGGATCTGTCTGGGCATGAAGAGGTGGGAAGGGAAGAGTCAGCCAGGGGCTCCGAGGTCCTAGATTGAGACTAGGATGAACAGACCTCCCATGGCTGCGCTCTGGCGTGGCCATCCTGCCTTGTACCCTCTGTAGGACCAACCAGACCAGGGGTGAAGCTCCCTGAGAGAAGGGGACAGGGACCTGGCTGGACTGCTCATGCTACTGCTCTGCAGCTCTGGCCTCACCCTCACCTCTTTGACTCCCGCAGCTGCTCCAGACCACTAACAACTCCCCAATGAACTCCAAGCCCCAGCAGATTAAAATGCAGTCGACAAAAAAGGGCCCACTGTCCAAACGAGAAGAAGGGGGACCATCTGGTGGGCCGGTGGTGGGGGCGGCCTCTCCCGGAGATGAGGCTTCATCTGTCAGCGCAGGGCCCAGCGCATCCAGTGGTCTGCAGCCCCAGGTGAGTGAGGCTCCAGGGTCCTGGGCAGGGGCCAGGGCTTGTGGGAAGGGGTCCTGTGCTGTCTCTTACTAAGGCAGAGTTTCTCCAGCTGAGATGTGGCCCATGTCAAATCGGTATAATTGGTCCTCACTAGCATTTGGCTTTAATGAAGTAAAACAAAACAGAAAATGTCAGATTTCCCTTTGATGGTGAGAGTAGACAGTGTCGAGATGCTGCCCTTCAGGCTTCTCGTGGCCGCTCTTGGCGTCTTGGCATGCACGGAGGTGGCCTTAGCAGTGGCACGTGGCTGTCTCCCAGGGCTCTCTCCTGGCCTGGCAAAGGGCGGTGCCCCTTGTCCATCTCTCCCTAGTGTCTCTTTCTCCGCACACCCGTCTGGAGAAGTTTCTGGATGAGCGTGTCACAGGCCCATGTGTCACCCCCACAGCCAGCATGTTAAGTGTTTCCCCTGATTCTGTCATTTGTCTTCCCAGTCAGCAATGGCAAATGTTGATTCATGCTCAACTTTGTCCTTCTCTGAATGGCCCTACACTGTGTGTGTGTGTGTGTGTGTGTGTGTGTGTGTGTGTGTGCGTGCGCGCGTGCGCGGTGGGCAAGGTCACCTCACAGACTGCCCTCTGCCTGGCCCCTGCTGCCCCAGCTTGCTCTCAGGGGACAGCATTTCTCAAGTTTCTCCTTTCTGTCTTTCAGCCCAAGCCCAGCAGTGGGGGCCGACGACGAGGGGGCCAGCGCCACAAGGTGAAATTCCAGGGGGCCTGTGTGAGTCCTGCCAGCGGCTGCTGAATCTTCCCTGGCCCAGCCCTGTCACCCAGGGATCTTTACTCTGGCCACCACTCACCAGCTGGGCAGAGCAGCTCTGACCGCACCCGCCCACTCCCAGGCCACACCAGAGCCTCTCCGTTGCTCCACCCCCATTTTCCAGGGGGCTTGTAATTTATAAATGAGGAAGGTGGCCAGACTTCTCGAGGACTGACCGTCTCCTGCCTTCTTCCCTGCCTCCTTCCTCACTCACACATCTTTTGTACATCTGGGCCCTTAGTTTTTATTCTTTTTATTATATATCTCTGTCTCTCTATTCAGTGTGTGGGGTGTGTGTGTGTGTGTGTGTGTGTGTGTGTGTGTGTGTGTGT